ACTGTTCGAATATCATGCAAAAACTATATGGTGTATTAAATCTATTACCCAAGTGATCAAGTACAATTAATAGAGTTTAGCAGTTGAAAATTTGGGGAAAGATTCAGGATTTGTTTGTTTGACGAGAATATAACGATTCGAGAATTTTTCAAAAAGTTGGAGAATTGTGTTTACTAGGCTAATGAGTACAATTCGTAATTGAAGCTCAATGTCATAATGTTTTAGGGCCTAAACCTGTGCCTTAAAAATTCAAACTTGCATTTATAGTCTCAANTAGGGCCTAAACCTGTGCCTTAAAAATTCAAACTTGCATTTATAGTCTCAATCATCAACTTTTAGACTAATCAATAGAGTTTAGCTTCAATAGTTCAGTTCTAGAGTTCATTACGAAGGTCCAATCTGAACTTGGATCACCACGGTACACAAAACTGAAGCGGATCTCAAATGTTACTTACTCAGCACCTGATAACATGGGGTCAACCTTCCTTATATTTGCTTAGAAGTTATAAAAATAGAAGACAAAATCTAGCAGGGCCAGATGAGAAGGCAAGACCTAAAATTGCTATTCCTTCATATCATCTTGGCAGGTCAACAATACTGAATTGCATTGACGTGTCAATATCTCAACTTGTACACGTTGCAGATTACATATATATGATCTTACTCAGGAGCTTTGAACTCAAAGACTGCCAAGTTGACTGGCTTGGCTTCAACCCAACTTCAATATGGTATATTCTGCTTCCCATGAGAGATAGTATTTCCACTTCTGGTTGCTTTCACTTAAAGTGAACCTTATAAATTCCCTAAAACTACCCTATTTGGACTTGAATTTGCTCAGATATCAAAGTTCTATGATTCGCAGAGGACGACCCCATTACAGATAAACCATGGGTAAATGAGGACTATAAAGTGTATAGTCAAGGATCTAAATTTCGTTTCGATGCATTGTTTCAGTCACCTAGGTAGCTTTTGGTAACAGATCTTATCTGTTTTTTTCTGTTTTTGTTTTCAATTTTTGTAAAAAAATAAATAAATAAAATCATTTTGGAGTGTTTTTTTTTTTTTTTTTGGCTGGTTTGTTTTGTAAACAACCCTCATTTTTAAAAACATGAAGATAAGGGCTTTCAAAAACTGGAGAAAACGAAAACATGTGCCTAGTGTTATTTAAGGCGTAAAGCAAACCGAAGCGATCAAGCCTCCTAACGCCTAGGCGAGAAGCGAAGCAAAAAGATATACTGAAGCGAAGCGAACAGTTAAAAAAAGAATATATATTTTAGTTTAATTACTTCTAAACATCTAAGTTCTACTTTTATATATACTAAATATTTAAATGCAAGTAAAATCATAAACATTTAAATTAAAACAAACACTAATAATATCTCTAATCTTAATAACATTCATAACTTAAATATTTAAATTCAACAAACACTAATAATATCCCAAAATCCTAATATTTAAAAACTAATAATGCATTAAGTCTTACGTTTTCATCTGTTTGTATAATTCTTTTAAACCTTTAATTCCATCAATATCAAGAAGAAAAAAAAAACTGCTTAAATAGTGCTCAATGTACATTCGGCATCGTCTGTTAAACTATAATTAGTGCTTAAAAAGCTGTAATGACTTTTTTTTTTTTGTCTAGGCTTACATTTGGTTTTAACTCCTTAGATTTTTATGGGATCTTCTTTTGTGTGGGATCTTCATATGGACTGGACAGCAACAGAAGGAAAAAGCAAAAAATAAAAAAAAAAAC